TTGTCTCAAGTACAGAAGCTGCTGCCCTACTAATTTGCCAATCTCCACCTTTTTCATCGTCTAGCTAAAAACCTAAAGCAGGAAGCCTGGAAGCCGGTGTTTCTTAAACTTTTTAAGACAGAGGATTTTTTTTTGAGCAAAAAAAAAAACGGGGGGGGAGAGGGGTCAGGAGAATGGCCTTTAAGGGCGGCTGCTCGAGAGAGATTCTAATGCCACCCCGCTGATTAGCAGTGCGCCCACAGCGAGGTTTGTGTTTTCCCTTGTGGTGCACATCCGCGCGCACCTTGGTGCACATAACAAAATTGATTCTGCACATGGATGGAAAAAAATCCGCCGATGGGTGGAAAAGATGAGAGGGAACACAGGTCCTGGTCTGATTAGGGCACCAGGCACTACAGGAATACAGTCATACCTCGGCAGAGATAGGAAAGCCGCCTAGAACCTGAGCCTGCCTACCTCGGGTGTGCCCGGTGACCTTTCTGGGGTGCAGGGCAGATTACAATGTAATAGGCCAGCTCTCTATGGTAGCTAAGACGGGCTCAACACCCAGTCTGAGGGGATCAAAGAACCTGGTTTGAGTCCCCCCACCTCCCAATTGCCTGATCCAGGAGGCAGCCAAGAGACCCTTCAGCTACAGGCTGACTATTAAGGACTGCTCTAAATTATGCTAGCACCACTCTGCTGGCTGGGGATACCCAGAATGCAGGGCTCTGTGCGATCACCTCCCGCTTCTTGCTGCCTTGGCCTGGGGGGCCTGGATCCACCGCCCATCCGTACCAAGTCATGAGACGCCCACGATCCAGCCAGCGGACCGGATTTGGGGAGGAATCCCAGTCCCATGCCACCGGAGCTACCTCCCACACACGCGCAGGGCTGCTGCACCTCTCCGCCCCCCCCCCCCAAGCCCTTATTGACCTGGGGGCAGCAGGGGGGAGCATGCGAAGTCTCCTCTCACCCCCAAGGGCACAGGTACCTAGGGGGAACCGCCAGCTGTTCAGAACCGTGGGGGGGGCGTGTGGACAGCTACCATTTCCTCACCTTCCTGGGTCCCCTAGACACCCCCCTTCAAGGCCTCTGGAGGACGGGACGCCACGTGGGGCAGGCCTGAGGGATTCAGCCAAAGGCTGGCCAAGGAGCTGGCATTTATTAGCCTCCTCCTGCGGCCACGGGGTTCCTTTTCTGCCCCCCAAACAGGCCCAGAAAGCCGGGCGTCTGAATCCACATTCAGGCACCTCCCCAGAAAGCCTGATTTGAAACACGCCGAGCACCCAGACGCCCCCTCTGGCCTGGGGCGCCGAACCTGTGAACCTCAGGTGAGTTCCGGAGGAGCCCAACCACGGGAGAGGAGCCTCACGCTAGGAAACGCCCGGATTTGGGGGGCCCTAGAGAGCAGCCCAGAGCTGGGGAACCACCTCCAACCCCCGCCCTTCGTAAACTCTGCCTGGGCCCGCTGAGCTTCTCCTGTCCCTCGAGAGAGGCCAAAGGGTTGAGATGCCCCAGAGGGGACGAGCGTGCCCTGCCCCGTTGCAGGGCGCCCATTCTTGGGGGGGCAGGTAGAGCTTAGTGTGCCCGTGGAAGGGGGACTTACCGCTGGTGTGGGCCCCGTGGCTGGGCGTGGCAGCTCTTCCCTGGCCTGCGTCCTGGCCCTCGAGGTCACCTCTGCTCGCGACGTGGCTCTCCCGCCCAGCCCAACGGCCGGTGTTTTCCAGCAGCCCCGGCGTCCTTGCAGCCTTCCCTCGGGCTTTCCAGGCGGCCTTACGGCCTCGGGACGGGGGTCCCCACACCTTCTGCCCAGTGGCTGGGCGGTGCAGCCACCGTCTGCTCCCTCAGATCCTGGCCCTGCCGCCTTGGACTCCGTCCTGCCCTTCTCCGGGCCTTTTCCACAGCCCCTTCCCGGGCTGGGGGCCAGGGTCAGCGCCTGCCAGGGCTTCTCCACAGAGCTCTGCCCTGCCGCTGTGACCCCTCGGGTCTGCAGAGCCCAGAGCTTGCTCCCTCCCCAGCCGGCTTCCCTTGCCCAGCCCTGCTCCTTCCCAGCTGCCAGCGTCCCCAATCAACACAGCCCCTCCAGCTGCTCCCCAGCCGCCTGATTGAGCTCACAGTTAACCCCCGCTCGGCCCCACCCCTCTGCTTTGGGTGAGCACTAGTGCAGCAGGGCACGGCCTCGTGTCTCGCCCCGCGTGCCCACGGTTGTGTGGAAACAAGCACGTCCTTCCCCCAGGGAAAGAAAGGGCAACACGTTGTCCTCTTCTCCAATCCTTTTCACATCTCCCCAGCCCTGACTCCTGCACCCCCATATCCCTGCCGCTGCTCTGAACCCCTCCACCCCAGCCCCCTGCCCTGAGCCCCCCACACGCCAGCCCTGACTCCTGCACCCCCATATCCCTGCCGCTGCTCTGCACCCCCTCACCCCAGCCCCCTCCCCTC